GAAATGAGTCGCGGTTTCTGGGGCTGGGGAAACTTTCTGGTTAGCAGGACGTTAGTCTGCGCGCTGGCGAAGAGCGTTTCCTCCCTCCGCTGGGCTAAGCGTGGTACATCGCTAGGCCCTGGGGTGTAGTTACGGTATCAGGTCTGTCTTTAAGTACTCTTAAGTCGGCAGGTGTTCGTGTTTGGGTTTGTTTGCCGAGTTATTTCTAATGCTGTAACTCTCTTTCTCAGTGCAAAATGGATCTGTGCATCAGAAGGATGGGTTAAATGATGATGACTTTGAACCCTACTTGAGCCCCCAGGCCAGGCCGGTGAGTAAGAGTACCTGCTAACTGGCAGGACATGCCAAAAGTCCCCTGACTTCCTGCTGCTCTCTAGCTAAGGCAGATTTGGCATCCCTTTTGTTCCTTGTTTCCACTAATTGTATTTAATATTTGCCAGCTTTCTGTAGCATTGGTGGTAATATCCAATTTGTCTGTATGCTTCTCCAGACAGAAACTACTGAACACCATTATATTGTGGGGTGTTAGGTGTAAACGTTCTAGTAACTTTTCTGGGTGTAACTTCCTACGGTTAAAATTCAGCCCATTTTTCAATGACAGGAATTATTAACTACCTTGAAGTTACTGTTTCTAATCTTTCAGTTTTACTGTTATGACACAGCTTCCTTGCTTGTTTCTGGTTCTTTATACTGCAAGAGCAAATACACTGTATTGCATTGTGAAATTTCTTAGTAAAATGCAGTAATGCTTTGGAGGCTATTATCAACGTTCTTATCTCTATCAAACTGAAAAGGCACGTCATGGGGTTTTCTGTTTTTCCACCAAAAAAACCCCACAGAACACAGATATGATAAATGCTGTAAAGACCTTTTAAAAACTTTTAATTAGAAGTTGGGCTGGAGAGTTTGTGATTAGCTCCTGAAAGCCACATTTCCAGATACTTTTCCTCTTAACTTTTTATTTGAGATTAGCTCCATTGTTAACGGGTTTTTTTATGAGCAGTAGGAGAGTGGCACATAACAGATGGAGTTCAGCTGATTAGATATTACAAGTAAGCATTATAGATAAACATCTGTAGTAAGACTGGAGCAGTTAGTTCATTCTGTTGGCTCCTTTTTCTTCCCCAGTTGTGATTAGTAAGTATAAGCTGCTCTGTTTTTTTTTCCCCCTCTCTATATTCTTTTTTTGTATTTATTAGTTAACATACATTTTTCAGGTAGTGGTGATGCTTTTTTTTTTTTTTTTGACCTCAAGAACAGTTTTCTGTTTCGGTTTAACTTTCAACAAGTATGTTCCTGCTTTGTGCTAAAAATATAACTAAATATTCTTCAAGGTCCTGCCAACTCTTCTGTAATCCTCAGAATTCAGCCTGTCCGTTAAGAACACTTAACTACATTTAGCTGCCTAAAAATTACAGACCTAGGTTTGAATTGCATAGAGTGAGCGAGCGTGATTTGTTTCTTAGGTCTTGAATAAAACTAGCTGCTTTCCTTGCTCTGTTCATTTGATGGTGATTTTTTTTTTCTGTCCCAGAAATTAATGTCCCCAATTTCTGGGCTTTTTCTGAACGTGAAAATATTTCATGCAAAGTATAGTTTTATTTAAACCTCCTAAATAGAGTGAATGTTGTTATGATGTTAGAGGCAAAGTGTTATTTTACTCTATTTTGTGTATTTGATAATAACTTTTGGCTATTTAGTTTTTCTCTCTTTGTGTGTCACAACTGGTAAAACATTAAAGAAATAAAAAGGAAAGGGTGGGGGGGAGTGATTGGAGTGTTCCCCAGGAGGTGCAGCAGGGATGTTGTTCTAGAAATTCATCAAGAGTGAGGTAAAATGCTATGGTAACTTTGAATAAAACTTTAGGGTGACTTTATCGCAGTGTCTCACTACGTTGTGTTGCTTTTCTGCTCCCATTCATGTTTTAACACCTCATATAATAGAGATCAAAAACCCAGGGTTAAGCCTTGAGGTGACCATGGTGCTGCTGAGCCAATAAGCCAGGCTCCTGATACAAAACTACCAAAGGTTACACCTCTTTTCTGTAGATGGGAAAGGGAATTACAGATAACACACTGAAAAGTGATTTAAATGCAGCCAACTGCTGTAGAGTGATGGGAATGTTTTTGAAATCGCTGAGTTATCCACACAAATGCTAGGTAACTAAGTCACAAGGTTTCATGGCCCTTAATTCAAGGGCTGCTATTTCAGAGGCGACTGTTACTAACTTGTCA